TTTTTTTTTTTTTTTAAGGAGAGGGGAAGATGAAGAAATGTTTGTTTATTTTGATTGTTAAAAAGTGTCCAGGAAATCGACCCTTCCGGAAAAGGGACGTCTGGATATGGGACGTTACACTGTATAATGAGTTCTGTTTACTTGCAGCTTATGCGCAATAAATGAAACTTATTGTTTTTCTTAACTTTCTTTGTGTTTTCTTGTATTTATTTATTGTTATATATATACATATAAGATGTTCTTTGTTATCCTGCTAACATTTTAAAAAAATCTGAAATGGAAGTTACTTATATAAATGATACAATTATTAAAGACAATTTTAAAAAACACTAACCATGTTATTCATTAACCAAATATTTTACAGCAATTCATTCCAATTGATATCATCTTTGAGAGTAAGAGCAGCATCTTCAGAGCACTTGAAAAAAAAGTCATTTTTTAGTTATAGAAAAAGTAATACAAAAAAATCAAACATTTTTTAAAACAAAGAGCATAAGTAACGTAATTTCGTGGAGATACGCCGCGGCGTTATTGATTTAAAACTTGAAAATTTTGTAGGAAGGCGTATCTAACGGGGCAGCATATATAGTATTACAGTCGAACCTCCATTTAACGAAGTCGCTAAATCTCGATAATAAGTTCGCTATATGGAAAATTCGTTAAATAGAAAATCACCTTTTGAAATACTTAAATGACACAAAACAGGTTTCAAATTCATAAACACTAGATATAATTAAAATAGCAATGGATGCACCTTTATATTGTATAGTAGTACCTACTATTTATTTTAAAAATCTTAACCATAAAAGAAATCTGCATGGAAAGCAAGAATAGAGCAAAACATAATCCAGTGTTACACTATCACGCTACATGCATTTTCAACTAAAAAAAGCTAAATTTATGTATGAAACTATAGCTACATTTATTATCGAGTAATTTCAAACATACATTACCACATACGTTCATAAGTTTAATTACTACTGATAAAATCCGTTAATTTTGTCTGAGTTTTTCGTTTGAAATGCAAACAAAAAGGGAAAGGGATTTCACTGCTTTCTCTAGAAGTTAAGTGGTTTCAAAAATCAATTCAAGGTCATTTACCCCATAAAATGTGTTAACAAGTTTAAAATGTTCTGAAATATTTTGGGAAATAGGGCAAGTGGATTTCAAAGAAAAGTTCGTAAAATAGAAAATTCACTTCGCTATTTGGAAGTAATTTTACAAAGAAATTTTTAAAATGTTCTTGGTTCCTCGAAAAATTCGCAAAATGAAAGTTTGTTAAATAGGAGTCCGGCTGTAATTTTTTTTTCTTCTTTAAAAAATTTTGTTTTTTAGAAACCCCACTAGAAATTTCCTCATCATTTTTTCCACCTGTCACTAGAGTTTTTTTTTATTTTTTCATGCTTAATGTTACGCTAAAGAATGGTCAGCCGATTTTTGAGGGCACGGCGTATATACCAGGGCGGCGTTTCTCCAGGAAATTACGATAATATAATTAACTATGATTCAAGTCAAGATCAAATAATTTTGTTAAGTGCAAAATAAAATAATTTTTTTTTTTGAACAACCTATTTACGGATTAAATATGAAATGCAATTTTTACCATGATATGCAATTATTTATAAATAATAAATAGTAAGTTTCGCTTTAAATTAAAAATCTGAAATTAAAACAAAATCTATTTTCTGGAGAAACCATCTACATTAAACACATTTATTTTCTTCCAAAATAGAGAGAACAGATGTAGCTAGTAAAATTTGTTGGCATATCCCTCAACAAAATATGTATTAATGTGATGTTCTAAATTACGTAACATATTTGAAAAATTACTAAAGTTCAAGGTTTAAAAACTAAATAAAAAATTAAGAACTGCCTCAATTACAGATACCATGCACCAGTAGATAAAAATATCTATAATTTTATACTATAAATCCTAACGAATAGTATATCCTGCACAAAAACATTGAACAGGAATATTTTAAACCATTTAGCAATACCTGATGTTATATGAGGGTGATTCAAAAATAAATAATAATCTTTCTCATACATTTATTGATTAATATGCGCAAATTAAATTGATTAGATGTTAGATTGTGAAAGGTTTATGCAATAAACATCATAAATATTTTTCAGTAAATTTCTGATTTGTAAACATTTAAAATTTATTAGGTTGTTCGGAAAGTAATTTTACCTTTTCTTATATATAAAAGGAAATAAGACTTTTTTATAGTGAATAAATATTTTATTGAATTATATTTTTTCTATTCTGGTTCAATACCTTTTGTCATCTTTCTCGCAGCAGCATGATTCTGCACTAATGAAGTTTTTATTTATTTATTTTTGCTGGCAAAAAATCTAATTTAGTTTATCTTTTGTCACTAAAAAGTGAAATATTTTTTGCAAAGATCGGAACAATACTGTAGATTACTGCATTTCAAAAAATTTTTTTTTGAAGCTTGGGAAACAAATCACAAATGCAAACATCAATATTGCCTGATCGAAATAATGCAAATCAGTTTTGGAGCTGATGTACTGTCAATATACCTTTTTTTTTTTTTTATATAAATCGGATAATTTTTCGTGCTCAAACAGCCTTTGTATCTTTTCAATGTTAAAAAAGTAAAATATGCCAAAATTGCAGCTTTTTATTTTCCATATTTGAAAGGGAATGAACCAAAATCTACTGCAAGGAATGAAGCCTTGCTATATCAGTAGTCAAAATATTGAATTATTATGCAGCTTAAATGCGGAGTTGACTTTGAAAAAATTTAATTAAGTCTTCTGTAAGTAAAAAGGAAAATTACTTTCCAAAAAACCCAATATATATTAATATTTTAATTCAGTTTCCCTTTAATAATTATTAACTACATTTAATTTTATTATCTTCAACTCGAAAATACTAGCATAGGACCCACTTATAACAAGCCTACAATTAACAAAATTTCAGATTCCATGAGTGAATTAGAACAAACTCTTTGGATATATTTAGGTGTCATTTAGAAATTGTTTAATCATTTTCATATTGAAAACAGGAATAACCTTCAGAGAATACCAGCTAAATTGAACAACAGGCTAGCCTAATGTAGTATTTCAAGAAGATATGGAAAGAATTTTAAGGGAGCTTGAATATCATCAGAAAAGTGCCTGTATGGTTACAGCAGCATTTCTGATTTCAGAATCACAAAACATAACAAGAAAAACTCATTCCTGATACTAACCTTGTTTAAATTCATGCTTTAAATTCAGTAGTTTAAAATGATAAAAAGCAAAGATTTATTCATAAAAGCAAAATAGGAAATCATAAAACTCTTAGATAAAAGTGTAAAAATGTTGCAATACGTAAGCAGTACTAATTTTTTTTTTAGATGAAAATTAGGGAAACCAAAGTTTTGTAAAGCTACAAAATAGCGATAATTTCTCACTTCTCAATAAAAAATCTGAAATTTATTCATGTAAGTTGCTTTTTATGTTTAGTTATTTTTTGCACTAACCACAAATTTAGATTTAGCGAGCCACCGGGTTCGGCAAGCCCTTTTTTGTTTCCTGAATTCCTAACTATTTACATCTCACTGTCTTTAGTTTATATATTATACTGAATATTGCATTTATGCATTCGTAAACTAAAAGAGAGAGAAAATTATGCACCACTACAGATCATATTCCAGAAACTAGAGTACTTCAACACTACGAGACAACAGATATATTGCACTATTGCCAACCTTGACATATATTTATGTTAAAAGAAAAAAAGGCAAAAATCATAATTAAGTACTCACTGTATCAGAAACATTAGGTAATGAAAGTGGAATACAACCATTCTGAGGGATAGTGTCATTGATAACTACTTCAACTACATTTCCAATAGCAAAAGTTTTTCTAGCCTCATTAACTTTATGGTGATTAACACATCCATATTTTGAACATTTGTGCAACTCCACATTTCCAAACACATTACGGCCAATATTTACAACTATGCGAGAATTGAATACAGATTTTATATAGCCCTTTACAGTCTTGCCTTTCTCTACTGTTTTAGGACACATCTCTGGAGAAAAATCTTTGACAGACTTCAGCTTTTCACAGTATAATCTAAAAAAATAAATTTTGGAAAAATTTTATGATAATCAAACCATATTAAGAATCATATTAGATTTTAAAAAAATATATTAGTTTTAAAAAAATATAATGAAGTCATAGTGCAACTTTGGTAAGTTACACAGCACACACTCATTTGTCAAAATAGTTTTTACTAAGTATTGATGTTTCAATTTCCTTTGCAGTTATGAAGTATTCTTTAAAAAAAATCAAATTGTTTTGAATCAATGAGTTTAAAAACAGGTCACTTCTAGTGGATTTTGTGTGCATGGTCGATTTTTGGAATCATCAATTCAGTTAAATTCAATAATTATAGGAAACAAATAGTAATTTTACTTCAGAAAGTTCATATTTAAATAAATTTATAATTCGAAGGAAGAAAAACGATTTTCTTTAAAATTTTAATAAAACAATATTTTACTAACCTGGACTTTCTTAAAGAAAGGTAACAGACTTTTTTATCATGATTCACCTCTAAAACATGGCACAAAATAAATTTGAACCTAAGAAGTTTCTCTATTACAGGTTTAAGAGCAGTGTAAACATCTTGAACATCTGTGAGATGCACAAATCCAGTATAACCGTATGGCAATTTCAAAACTAACTTTCTATCAGGACTTCCAACAGTTAGTAAGCCAACAACATTTCTTCCTGTATCAGGCACAGAAATTTCTGAAAATATTTAATTTGAAAAAAAAAAAACATTACATTGATTTATAAAATGTTGCATTATACATCAGTTGCACACAATGCATTAAGTATCAGTTAGGATTTTAATAAATAAGTTTAAATTTTAAGGGTACAAACCTGGCCTAGCTAGATTTATTTCATCACATTCATCGGAAGATGCTAAGTGACTAAATGCAGTAACAGTTATTGATTGACCAACTTTGAATTTCTTTTTCAGTTTACGAAGAATCTAAAGTAAGAAATTAAATTTAACATCATACCTGACAACCCAGAACAGAGTTACAGATATTTCATTAAAAAAAAAAAAATGCAAGAGGGGAGGCATTTAAAAAGTAAAAAAAAATATATTAATTTGCACTGCTTAAACACAAGCATACAAAAATATTTTTTTAGTTAATTAAAATCATCTCTTTCTGAAAATTATACTTTTAGAATTTTAAACGAAAATTCAGACAATATCAAAATCAGATAGTTTTTACTTTAACACACTGGTCAGTTTTGGAGATTGCTCAATTTGTGCCACCACTGGTGCTTGAGAAGTACCACACACCACTGAGGCCTAGTGAGTGAAAATTAAAAAATCCAATTGATAGAATAGAAGCTATGAGGGGGTAACAGGTAACATCGATCTGTTCATCAATGTGTTAAAATAAAAACTGAATTTTTTTTATTATCATTACATATAATAGTTAAAACAACCATAATATTTTGAACTGTTTTAATCGAGATTAATGAGGTACAAGCATAAAATTTATGCTGCTTTGATTTCAGATATTTAAAAAATCATAAGTATGAATATTAATAATTTATAAAAGAAAAAATATTATTTTTAATACTAGAAATATTAGTTATGTAAAGTGAATAAAATAAGTGAAAAAACTAAGATATAATCAGATATAATTGTGTTTCACTGTAATGTAACTGAATGAAAATTTTCTAATTAAACAAGTTAGATAGAATTCTTTCAATTAATTTTCAAAAACTCAATGAATTTGCAACAATAAATAAATGGCAAATTTTTTTATTTGATATATGAAATTTCACTATTCATTAGTTAATGATAGACTCAAGCATAAAGGTTTAGCTAGAATTAAGACTGGGCAATGTAATAAATTTTATATCTTGATATATTGTCTGTTAGACATCGCGATGTTCAACAGATAAATAATATGTTCAAGAATTATCAATTAGAAATCTTTAAAACAATCAAAAATAAATAAAAAGAATAAATCTATAACTAAAGAAAATGTTAATTCTAAAAAAATGCTTCTTTAACTTCAATAGCATTGTTTAATTTTTTTCAATTAAAATAATGAAAATGGATTGACTTAAGACTGATGTCTTTAAGTAAAAACAAACACTAGCTTTATTTAATTTTTTTTTTAAATTAAAAATGACTTTAAGATTTATTGCTTAAAAATAATAATAAAAGTGTAACAAAATAGGTTACATAAATGCATTAAAAATTAAAAAAAAAAAAAAACATAGAAATGTTCACTTAAATAAAACATTTTTTAAATTATTTGTTAAAAAAAAAATGTGCTTTTGAAATATCAGTAGGCCTTTTTTTATTTAAAATAATAAAGTTGTATTGATTAATGGTCAAATGGTCTTAACAAATGTAAGTTTTTTTTTTATTTATTTATCAATATTTCTTTTTAAAACTAAAATTGACTAAAGACTTATTAGTATAAAAATAATACCGACTAGCTAACAAATTATAAAACGAAAACATATTGAAAAATTTTTAAGAAATTTTTTAAAAAAATACTATAATAGCACTATTGTTAAATTATTGAAAAGTGTTAACACATTGATTAACTTTTGATTTAATTTAAAAAATTTAGATGTTTTAACTAATAGCCAAAATAAAAATAATAAAAATGCAAACTTTGTTTTAATTTCCTCAAAAATAAAAGTAAATTTAATAATTGTAGTCTTTTTAAATTAAAAACAACTAACGATTTATTGATTTAAAAATAATCAAATTCTGCCACATTATACTTACTTACATTAAATAAATAAAAACTTTTTATAACTAAGTACACAATACATAAATATGAAACATCCCTATTAAATTGTATCGCTTAAAATGAAATACAATATTAATGAAAAAAAATCAATGAAAAATAATTTTTTTATTCATAATTTCTTTTCATTAATAGATTGAGTTCAGAACAAAAATTTAAGATAATAGCGATTGTGCAGCAATAACAAAATAACATTAGGTCTACTAAAAATAATTGACAAGAAAAGTTAATTCCCAACAAATAACAAAAAATATGATGAAAACAATACACTATAGAGATGAAATTTCATTTCAATCGGAAAATAGTTATCCTCCATTATAATAAAAAGCTATATATGAGAAAAATCACTAGATAAATGGGTAAAAATAAACGATAAAAAAAGCCAATCGATATTAAATTAAATATTAATCGTTCAACTTTTTAAATAGAATTTTTTTTAAATAGATCATTGTAAACATTTAAGATAACTGTTCAATTTGTTAATATTTATAAGAAATAATCTTTAAGTAGCTTAAAAAAATTAAACAACTCTAAGAAGAACTTTATTTTTCTTTTGAGAAGCTGCTTTATATATGAATAAGTAATAAAACTGAGCCCTCTGCTTAATCTGTACCTTTTTAAATAATGACACATAATTTTTTTAAAAAAAATTTAAAGGCATACCTTTGGATTTTCTGATATATTAACAAAGTCTAATTTGCCCAACTGATAAGGAGAAAGCCAAACTAAGGCAGTAGTATCATAAACCTAAAAAAAGTATTACTTAATTAATAATAAAGAAAATATAAAGTTTACAAAGGAAGTTTAAATTTAACATACCTTGTTTAAAAATCCTATGAGAGGTTTAGAAGAGTTCAAAAGATTATCTGAAGGAATGCTTGAAGGATTTATTAATGAACATTCAAGAAAAGAAGTTGCGTTTCTGTGACTGATAACCAAATAGTTTCGCTTGCGTCGTTCAAATGACTTCAAAACATATACTTTTAGAAGCTGTCCAACAGCAAAGCTCTTGAAAGGAAATTCGCCCTAGTTAAAATTAAAAAAAAAAAAAAAACAATAATTTTTTAACATCTAATAAAATAATTATTATAAAAATTGGAAAAATGTTTTAAGAGTACCAATTATAGCATTTCCAAATTTTAGAACCAAAATTTAAAGATTTAATTATAACTACACAACTTTATTTTACACAAAATTGCTAAACAGTAGAACTAAACAGCTACATTACAAAATTCGTATTTAATCTTTCAGCTGTTGACTCTTAAGTCACTTTAAGGTAAGACCTGAAAGCTTACTATTTCAGCGGAGTGATTTTTTTTTTCTCAATAAAGATTTTCCTATAGGTATATTTTCCGCTATGTTGAAAATCGGGAAATAAATGCGGCACAGGCAATTGAGAAAAAAAAAATTCAGGATATTTTTTTCACATTTATGAGAGGATTTGTCTATCTAGCTAATGGAAATTAAGTTCAAATGTCACTAACAATGAGCATTTCAAATACCACTGTAATTGTTGTCTGTATCCTTTGTTACTGTTGAAAGAAATAATGACTTTTTCCTGATTACACATGAAGTACAGGTCTTCCTTTTATCTTTTTAATGCATATACTCTCCTACTATTCTTAAATATATTATTTTCCCCTAAGTATGTTGAGTTTTAAAAACAAGTCAATGAGGAAGAATGTTTTTTTTTTCTATCTTAAAATTTAATTAAATTTTTTTAGGGACTTTAAACAGGGTTGCCACTCAAATCTGGAAAAAAAATTCCCTGTGTTTTCCCTGTACATATTATACACAATATACTAAGAGGAAACAACAATTACTGCGCTCTTGTGTTAGCTATAATGGGCTTACCTCATTTATTAGTTTTAATTGCTGGAAAACAGCTGAACATACTTAAATAATGCTATAGTAAATTAAATAGTTTAGTATAGCTGAAATATGATGGTTAAATATTCCATAGATGAGATTCCGAGTGGTCACCATTTTTTAAAAGATAAAAACAAGAAAACAAATTCCCTGTATTTCTCTAGTTTGTTAAGAAAAAATCTAAATTCCCCGCATTTTCCCTGTTATTTTAGGTGATTTTTAAATTCCCTGTATTTTTCAGGTTTCCCCTGTTCTCTCTGTGGAGTGGCAACCCTGTATTCAGGGTTATATCCCAATTTTTAAAGATTATTTATTGGTCTCTGATTAGGAGAAAATCTCATCTACAAATCAGTTTATTCTTTGACAATACACAGGACAGAGATAGATTAAATACTTAAACTTTCATCAAATGTGAAAGAAAGAAAAAAAACAATATGGTAGTTTATTCAATTTCATTTCCTTTGCTATTAGTGAAAAATACTTAGTAGATGCTTTACATTTATTCTTTAGATAACAAAAGCTTTAACAGTAAAAAAACTGGCTGTTTTACGTTTGTTTCTGATTAATATGCATATAATTAGCACACTTCAAGTAATTTTGAATAGTATTTGAATAACATTAAACTGAATTTAAAATACTCAAAACAAATTAAGGCAGTTTTGAATAAAAAAAATTAAGCATTTTTAATCCTCTCGCGCCAACTGTCACCTATACGCGCCAGCAAGAAAGGCACTCACTTCCGGGCCGTTTTCTAGTTCACCCCCGGCCGTCGCCCATTAGTGCCAGTGTCCTGGAACATTTAAAAAAAAGTAATATTTTTGCCAGAAGATGGTATTGTATGTCCATATGGTTTCAGATACATGTAGATTTGACCTTCTACTCAAAATGAGAGTAGTATGACTCACATACACGTGGTTTTTAGGGGGAAGGAATGAAGGAGAAAGGAATGTTTCAGAATGTCTTTCTTTTTTGATGGCTCTTTAAATTCGTAAGTGGTATTTGTTTACAGTAAGCAGGGGAGGTTCCCCTCCCCCGCTTCAGCGTTGAGTATTTCGATTTGCGGTCCAGTTTTTAGTGGAATGTTAGTGTCTTCAAATTTTTCATACGAAAAAAGAATTTTAAGTCATATAACTAGTTTTCAGATGTATAATGTTAAAAGTTTAAGTACATAATGAAAATAAATTGTGTAAAATACACATTTAAACAAGAAATAATTTAAGTGAATAAAGTATCTATAGAAATATATATATATATAAAGCATATGCCATTTAAATACTCTACAGAACATTATTAAACGCGTTGATATTTCAGTAATTTCACGGATTTAGGCTTAACAGCAAAAAAAACCCTCCGGCCCTGGACACACTTGCGAGAGAGACTGCCCGCCTCAGCGATAAGGGTGCGTTTGCGCTTCCCATCGCGAAAGGGGTAAAGGCTTGAGATAGTAGGAAGCCTGTTAAAAATGATTAAACGCATTGATATTTTACGGCATACATAAGCTAATTCAAAAGGAGATAAAAGTGCAAGCATGCTGAATATGAAACGATTTTAACTATATTTTTAGTCAGTGAGGTTTTTCATGAATGAATCATTTATAACAAAATATATATATATCTAAAATCACCGCAGGATGCTTGATGAGTTAAAATTTTGTTATTGCTGTGAGTTTTTTCTCTTTATCCTCAACAAATTATCAGTTTTACAACACTCTCTCTTTGCCATGATAAAATTAGACATTTTCATTATTTTGGAAATTCCACAAAGACAAAGGTTGAAAAAGATATTTACAGCTACAATCACACCTGGTAAATTTAGAATTGAATGGTAGGAATAGTAAGTTGCTTCATCTATAAGGTTTCACTATCCAGTTGACATAGGTTTCTGTAGAAAGACTTGGGATAAAAAACTCAAATGATTTCAAACTACAGCAATGAGGACAGCTTGAAATGCAGCAAGAAGATTGAATGTCAAAAAAAGTGAATTTTTTTTTCTATGAAAATATATTAACAGGGTACATGTAAAAATTAGAACAAATATTACCCAACCATGACTAATCACCTACCTTCTTTTAGGGCTCATATATTAATGGCCATGGCAGGAATGCCACATAATTTTGACTACCATCAGACGACATAAAGCCCTTTGAGGTGGTACCCCGTTCTCATAATTTCTACACCAGAATCAAAGAGAGAACTTACAACTATGTCTAATTTAACATGCATCATACATGCCGTTTGTTTTGTCTGCTGCCAAGATAAAACTCATAACCCCAACTGTCCGCCAAGCGGTGTGTTACATCTTTCTTCCATTAAACTAAATTTTTACCTTGCGATAGATGGCGCAGTGTGCGCATCTGTAAGGATACATAGCTTTTCTCTTCAGTCTTTTGTTTGTTGTCGTTTCGTTAAGTTTAAATAAAAAACACTAAAAAATATTGGCTCGCACTTATTCATTTCAAACCAATAGCCAAAAAGATCCCGAGATACAAAACGGTGTGAGCAACACTTTATCTGCCTAGGCCACTAAAGCATTTATATTTTAAATTAAGAAGAATGGCTAAAAAATAATTAAAATACAACCAATTTCATAATTAAAGACACTTACTTCCTTGGAACACCCAGTACGAGTAATATGAATCCGGCCTTTCACACTACCACTTACAATGATATTCAATTGATGTGCTGTAATCTTCTTAATTCTACAATCAAAATATCAGCGTTAAATTAATTTACTGTTAAGGCAACAACAAGTATAAAAACACATTTATTTAAAGGTAATAACTGATTACATCATGTATAGTTACGACTCTTTAGAAGAAAAAAAATAATTTAGTGATTTTTAAATTAGCTAATACTAATTTCAAATAAGCTAATTCATTCGAATTATTTATAGAACCATATAATAAAATACTGAAACAAAAAAATTTTGATAAGATCTAAAAACAAGCTAAAATAAAAAGGTTAAAATTTTATATATACGTTGCAATAAATTTAACTTTCCTACAAGCACAATTACTTTAACTTAATTTTTTTAGTGGTTTTAGGACACAAAGCAAGGAGGAAAAAAATACATCCTTAATAAAATTTAACTTAACTAATATCTCATGCAGGAACTTTTTCAACACAAGAAATGCTACATTCAATACTATTTCTGAATGGAATGGAGATTAAACCAACAATAATCAAAGTGACTACATAAACAGTGAATACAATTTTTTCTTGGCTAAGCTTACATTTTTCTTATTTGCAGTGGATATTAATTATATAAGTCCTATCTTTCTATGTATCATTGTAAGCGTATAATATAAAGTGTTATAACACTTTCACTAGTTATAAGATATGAAAAAATTATTTTTTTTTTGAAATTTATTTAATTAGTCCTAAAAATCAATTTAAAACACTAAATTTGATATAAAAAAATCAGGAAATTCTAGCAAATAAATAATCACAATTTATCCACATTACTCGAAATGGCAAAATTAAAAAAATAATTAATTAACGCTCCTTGCACAGTACCAGAATAATGCTCAGTAGCATGAATATAAAAATAGTGTATTTTTAGGTTCATGCATAAAAATACAATATTCTTTGTACTTCTTCATAGGACTCATTCGAGACTTTAAAAGAGGGCAGGATGCTGGAAACTAAAATGAGCACATTATTCTCAAATAGCAAGGCTAACTGTTAAAAGTTAAATGACTCATTCTCAACTTCAGATAAAAAAAAAAGTACAAACATTGGATAAATGTAAAAAAAAGGAGTTTTTTCAAAAGAGACTCATAAAATCACAATATTCTTTGTATAATCACAATATTCTTTGTATGAAGAATATTATCACAATATTCTTCATAGAATTCATTTGAGAACTAAAAAAAGGGTATGGTGTTTGAAAATGAAAAGAGCACATTATCTTCAAACAAAGGTAAGTTGTTAAAAGTGAAATTTTTATTTTCAACTTATTTCATATTCTCAACTCATATTATTTCAAGGCTCTTAACTCTTTATTTTAAAAAAAAATTTAATTTTCGAATACAACAGAAAATCCTAAAAAAATATGACTGCAATAAATTTGAACATACTAACAATCAGTTTAAAAATGAGTAAAACTCTCATATTTTAAAAATCATGAGCTTTCAAACCAGTCAACAAAACCAGGTAGAATTTCATGAAATTGAGCTTATCAAAAATTAATAACATAAAAACTTGATTCTAAATTAGGGAATTGTAATAGTAATATTTAAAAAAATTTTACTTTGAAAACGATATTGAAATGACAAAAAAAGATAAATAATTGTAAAAACTGACAAAAGTCTTAAGATTTTCGGCCTAATTCCCTCCTCACAGGTTTGTTTATTTATATTCATAGCTGCCAACATGGATAGGAAAAAAAAGCAGATTTTACAAAATATAAATTTCATGATAATTGTTGCATAATGAACTAAATACTTTAAATATTGGGAATTTTAGGGATTTTTATAGTCATCAAAATAGAAAAACTGTAATATTTTCCAGTAATGATTGTCATTAGATATGCTTGAAATGCTATGTATTATGTTTACTCATAATTTCAAATATTTATATGCATTTAATTCATCAAAGATAGTTAAAAGATTTTTTAAATTAATTCAAAAAGAGAGTTCTGAATAAAAATAAACCGAGCATTTTGAACAAAAAAAGTATTGAACTAATTTCTATAAATGAGTTTCGCTTCATTATGTATTAGTAATACTAACTTAAATATTTAAGCAAGCAATAATCTGTGCAAAAACTCTAATTCAATAGTGAATATTTTTAGGAAACTTCCTCAATTTTAGGGAATTTTCTAAAATGTACAAAACCAGGAGAATTTTAATTAAACCAGTAGACCAGGTAGTAGTAGAACAAAAGTAGACCAGGAGAAACTGGCAAGATCCAGTAGAGTTGGTAGCTATGTATATTTAATCGATGATCATAGAAAATTACATCATAATGGGTGTTGCCTCTGCTACCGAATTATTCTTGAATTTCACCACAAGCGTTGGTATGGTACAATTAAACAACTACACTTTCCAGGCATCTAGTTAAAAGGAGATGTGCAGATGACATTGTTTTAGTTCCTACGACTATTTAAAATGTATTAAAAACCATAGATTTTTTAACCCCTTAAGAAGCATAAAAAAAAAAATTCAATATCCCCTTTATGAAAATCCAGTTATTTAGAGTATGGGTACTGAGGGAGTGCGCTGAGTTATATGAGGCAACACATTTTAAAAAAAATTATGCATTCAATTTGTTTGGTTTTTAAAAAAAAATAATTTATGTGTGTGTTAATTCAATACTTTTCCCCCGGCAGGCAACCACAGTCTATTTTTTGTAATCAAAATAGATACGGATATGAAAAAGAAAACATAAGGAAACTTACGCTTATAAACAGTAATTTATTCTTAATTAGATAATTAAAAAAACTCAAAAAAATTTTTACTTCAGAAATTAGTATCAATGAAACAATTAAGTAACTATGTCAGTGGGATGATTGTGCTTGATGGTTCAGAGCCAGTTTCTTAACACTCAGTTCAATATTTTTACATGAGGTGAAGGTGCAAGTCCCCAAAGCACGATTTCGAGTCTATTTTATTTTTCGTGATTAGATCCATCACAGTACTGAACCATAAGTAGGAGGAAGGGAAGGCAATTAAAAAAATTTAACGATAGTCCACACTTCAAAGTATGATCCAGACTGATGTTACCTTGAAGTCAAAATTCTGTGAGACGATCACCTTTTCAAAGTTTCCTTAAATAAAAAATCAAATAATTCCTCCTGAATCTGAACCTCTGCTGTTTCAATATTCATAAAAGGGTTCATAAGGAACTCGCAGAGACAAAACATCTTTAAGAAAAGTCCATGTGCAAAGAGTCAAGGTGTTGATAATATTCTTATGTATCATCAGATGGAATTTCACCTTTCTCTTTCCAGATCTGATAAGATTGGAAATCGGCTAAACTCATTCCAAGTAAAATTCTGCTTCCACATTTTTTTTTAGAAAGGCAAAAATAATTGATTCTGTAGTGATCAAATTGAGCTCGTTACCTTCAAGTTCTTAATGCCATTAAATTTTGCAAATAAATCAGTCATGTATGCAACTTCTATCATAAATTTTAGCAAAATGTCTCACAGAGCTACATCTCTGAGTCTGAGGAGCTCAAGCACATAGTCGAAAATATTCCAAAACCTATTGAGACAGGCACCCTTGCAAAACAAGTGAATCTTGATGTGTAGTAGCAAGCAATTAAATTCTCCGTTGTTTTCTCTTACACAGCTGTATGAAAATCGATCGTTGAGAGCATTTCTGCAAATTTTGTTTACAACAGGGATAATTTATTCCAATGACTGATGTAAACAGTCGCTAAGATTTTTTCCGAATAAATGCTGTCTGTGAATCACGCAGTCAACAGCTAAAATTTCCGATACCTCCCTCTTCAAAAGGGCAATTAACTAATATTTCCTAGAAGAGAGAAGGCCTCAGCAACGGTTATCATAAACAAGAAATGTTATCCTTTAGTAGTTCAAATGTAATGACATTCCTTGTATCTCCCCCCATTGCACAGATTAGTAGCTCGAACACAGTGACATATTTCTTATTTTACCTCCACTGCATAGTCTATTAACATAATTTTATTTGGGAGTTTTAAAATTAAATTGGAATAACAGAACATGCTCAACGGCCACCCTTACCTCCATAACATACCGACAGACCCACAGCATACTAATTATATTGCAATATTGATATTAAATATTTATAAAAATAACCATTATTTTACGAAATACCAGAAATTCATACATTGCTTTGTAAGTTTTCCCCTCAGAAAAAATAGGGCTAGATATGTTTTGAGTAGAAGACTCAGCATTTAGATTTTTCTTATTTGAATCTTTTGAAGCAGGTATACTTGTATCACCATCTGTCACTGTCTTAGAAGACTTTTGTTTTGTGTGTTTTAGAGATAGTTTCTCCTTTTTATTGGAATCATGATCTTCTAGCTTTTCAGGCTAAAAAAAAGAACAAACTTTAATACATAAAAATGAACCCAATTATATGAACATGTATATAAAACTAACTTTTAAAATATAGAGAGACAAATATTACACATTTTAACTTTAAACACTTTTTTTCTTGTACTTACCCAATAAAGTAGGTGGTTATTAGGAGCATTTAATGTGTTTTATAATTTATTGACATTTTAATAAAATAAATATAATGCTACACAGAATTGAAAGATAATGAAAAGACATGATATTCTTATTTATTATCTTGGTCTTGCACAATCTAACAATGTTCAAGCATAAAATAAAAAATGGAACACCTTAATAACTTTTTATGTAATGATCTGAATGATTTGACGCCTGAACTTATGGATGATAATGAATTGACAGGAATATGTTCTGAATGGGGAGGAGTTTTTATATCGCATTTATTGAATTCTGGAATCAATTCTGGTGGATGAATTTTCTAATGAATTCTTCAATGACAATAAGCTTTTTTTCTCTCTTAAAAAATTTCTTAATTTCAACAGTTGTAAAGACAGTTAACATTTCTAAATAATGTTTCTCAGCATTCATTGAATATCAGCATTAACTTATGATCACTAATCTACACATTCATTCTTGTTCTCCTCATTGGCTAATAAAAAATGTCAGGAACCACAAATATGCATGGAATAATTGAGATCTACCTCTAAACAAAGATATATTAACAACAGATTTTGGTACAGTTGAACCTTGATCCATCATTCCTGCATCTTTTGTTTTCCCATGTGTATAGCCTTGTTTTTAGCGGTCTCATCAGAAATGCTATTCTTATAATGTTAATAATATTCTGTCTAGATTGTTTTGAAAATTAACTAATTCCCATGTCTATTGTTCAGGAATTTCCCCCAACAATTAAGAACATCGAAGATCTTTTTTCGTTTTGAGAAGAAAACCAGTAACTCTTGATGCTAATGATGGAGATAATAAGGATTTGTTATAGTTAGGGTAAAACATGTTAAACAGCATGCTTGATATTAATGTATCAGTTGATAAAAAATTTGTAATTTGCGGTGTAATAAGTTCAGAAATAGTTGGAAAAGCTGAAGAAGTACAATAGATGGCAAAATGAAATCACAAACAGTGCTAACATTCGCCAAAGGTTAAGAAACAATGAGCTACGTTCTACATTCAAGCAAGCATACAGGAAACATTTTACTAATGTCGAAAATTTGTTATTTATGTTGAGAAGAAAAGAAAGCGTTCAAATTAAAAATAACTTAAAAAAATAAGTGTGTTCATTCTTTTGCATCAATAGTATTTTTGTATTATGGTCAGTATGGTATAGTTTTCATTATGGTATAGTTTTTTAATTATAGTTCTTTAATTAAATTATTTTACACTTATAGTAAACTTATTAATTTTAAAATTCATTATCTCTTTATTACTTTTGTACATTTTCAAGTCATTCAGTATTATTTAATTTAGACCCACATTTATCGGTTTCCCGAATCTGTCGTTCACAAAGAATGGCTCAATGAAAAACAATCGATTAAAGTTCTATTGTATATGCATAAACATAGATAATTTTTTTAAAAGAATACAGTTTTATAACCATCGTTGAACAGCTGACTCAATTTTCGTATATGACTACTAATGTTCAACTATGTAGCCTTGTAATTTTGATACAATCCAGAAGACAAGGAAACTCCCCAGTACCCCCAGAGGTTTGATTTGTAATTGGAACATGGAGGACTTTGAGACTCGACAGATTTAATGTGCATCAGTCACCATTTACTATACGGGGAGTCTTCATTCGGCAGGGATCGAGCCCACAACCTCTAGGACATGGGCCCAGTGTCCTACCTACCAGGCTATCCTGGCCTTTAGGTATACAGTTAGTAGAAAGGATGAAACTTACATTTAAAGACAGTTTCAGTTTCTTCTTTAATGGATTACAGTATATTACAACACATCTGACAGTCTGCCCTATGTAAAAAATTGCTGTATCTGGAATGTTTTCCGAGGTTACAATTCCCTAAAAAAAATTAAAATAAAGTGTTAAAACTAACATATAAGCAGAAAACAACACGGGATAACATTTTACATTTAAACAAGATAAAAAAGAATAACCTATTATATTACCTATATACATCAAATATTTATACGGATTTTTTTTAAAGATTATTTTCTTATTGATTTAGATTATTAAAAACTTCAAAATTAATTTCGAATTATCTTTTACTTTCATTATTTAGTGAAGGTTTTAAATTTGTGACAGCCTTCACCTCTTATTTAGATAATTTGGTGTACAGTAAAATAATTTTTTCCCCAAAACAACAAAAGAAATTTCGAAAAAATCAATTAAAACTTTTTTCCACTAGGTCTTAAATCATGTTTTTAAATAACAAATTATTAATAATTTAACATTATGAAATCAATCAATCAATCTTACACAGGGTTCGTGATTTTTTTGATGTTTCTAAAAAAAAAAGCAGATTTTTTTTTATTTAAATCAGATTTTTGTTGATTTTTATTCAAATACACTGAAAGAACTTTAATTTATGTTAAAAAGCTCTGCAAATGTTTAATCAAAATTAAATTAATATTAAAACTATATTTTAGAAGCTCTAACTTACTAAAATAATTTTTCATTATAATACATAGCTTTGAATGCATAGCAACCATTTTGAAACAAATGCATGATTGAAATTTAAAGACTAGATGAAATAGAGAATTAAAGAATACTTTAGTGGTCTGTCTAGGTTTTTCTGAGAGGTACTTATTTTGTGAAAATTTAGACATCATTTATAAAAATTAAAAATTTTATTATAAATATTAACACAAAAATATGGATTTATCGTTTCTTACGTTACACAAAATTAAAATTTCAAAAATTTTGTGAAATTATTCTACCGTTTTTCCTAAAGTTGAATTTGTGAAGGTGCCGCTAAACGCTTCCTGTACTTTAACTATTAAAACAAAGTTTCAATTAGCAAACCAAAATTTTAATTTAAAATTCTGTGTCTTTTTTTCCCCCTCTTGATTTTTAAAATGACAAAATAAATGTAACAGATTGTGTTTATAAATATAGTCATTCATCAAAAAATAAATAATAATTAATCTATATATTTTTATATTAAAATATTCATTTTTAATCCTATATCAAAATAGATAAGTTAAGGTAAAAAATTTTTTTTAAAAATCTATTTACTTATTTGAATTTTTTTTTCCTCACAAAATTTCTTTATAGAAAATCTGATAATGTCAAAGATACTGTAAACATATAATGAGAAAAAAATACCAATTAATAACCCTACTTCTTCAAATAGACTTTGAAAGGGAAGAAATATACTATATCAGGAAAAAATTATCTAAATTCATCAGCCTTTTTTTTCTATTTTTTGCATATTAGGGTAATTTCTTTTTAATATAACCTCAAGCTTCAGAAATATACATTTTCCACCAATAAAATATAATGCAGATTTTAATTCCATGCCTTTTTAATCAAATGGCAAAATTTTAATTAACATTATTTGCATTTTTTTGAGAAAAAAAATCATGTTTATTAATTACTTTCTACAGCTATGCGAGTCCATATTAAGACAGTATTAAATGTTTACTTTCTGTACTTTCAAATGTGTTGGAATTTAACATACACCAAGAAAGAAAGTAATTTTGTCAACTAAAATTAATTGATGCAGCAATTTATTTAAAATAAATTTTAAAACCTTGTAAAGAAAATAATAGAAGTACCAATAATTTAAAACTGTTTTTTAACTTTTAAAATCAATATATATATATAAAATTATCAATTGATTTAAATCAATGATTTTTTAAAAAAAAATCATTTGATTTAAATCATGATTTAAATCGTGATTTAAATCAACGAACCCTGCCCTGTGGAAATAGTAGTTTTAATAGTTTCTTTAACAT